ATATTTGGACGGATCGAGCTCAATTACAGATTTGTCACTGCTGCCTCAGTAGACATTCTTAAACACTGACGGCCGAAAGCCATACCAAACCAAGCCTTAATACGTTTAGATTTAAAAATCGTTTTTCACTTTCTATTTTCCTATTTTTGTGTCATTATCACTGATTTCTACTTCCATAGATAATTTTTACGTTTGATATCTGCTTTCGTTCTCAGTCTAGTTTCCTGTTAACATTAAACATGCTTAATATTTGTAGCTACTAAGTTGAGACAATTGCGCTACTAAGCTATGGTCTTTGTCATAATTTTGCATCTTCAAGGAAAATTGCCAACGAAGTTTGGCGATCGCAGGTCGTCCACAGCACGGGGTTCACTTGGAATCAGGACGTATGTTACCAAATCAAGTTGCAGTCATGAGTCTCAGCTTCTCTTCCTCTGGTCGGAACTATAGTAAATGCTAAATAAATCGTTTGCAAGTATTTTCAAGGATAAATATTGCTCCTCCCCGACTCAAGACGGGAGGTCTAACTATACATTTACTAAAAATACAAAAAAGTGAGATGAAACTATATCATTTCAGGCCAACCTTTCGAACAAGACTCAATGACGAGGACAAAATCAGTACTAAGATGTTTTTTATTTTTGAAAGAAACCAAGAAGAATAACTTCTGGTGTGGAATGGTCACTGACGATGGAGATGTCGTTAATGTGAGAAGCAGCTTAATCTTGTTGACCGTAACATCGCGACGCTGACCATGCATTACCTTAGCCAAAGCGTAAAAACCGCTGTCGGTGAGCAAAGAACAGCCGGCAACTTCCAAGTCCCTGAAAGAACGACAATCAAGTAGGAAGCAACACAGGAAAACGACTACTTCAGCAACTGGCAGCCAAGTGACAACGCCTGCAAGGACCGATCGGTGACTCGCGGACACATTGACAAACACAGATATTCCAGCCGGTGGCATCCGCTCGAAATGTACTGAATACTTTGATCGGTGATGTGCTAAACAATGTTTTTATGGAATATTTTCAATGAAAAAACAATATATATAGTAAAAATAGTAAAAATTAATCAATTAAAATAATCCTTCAATCAGTTTAATTTTAAAATTCAGAAATTACTTCATGTCATTTCTCATAGAGTCAGTTATTTTTCTTGGAATAAAGACAAACGATCATGAAAGGGGAACTATGGAATGAAAATTAGGTAAGAGCAAGTCTACCACTGCTAAATAAAAATACAGCTG